CTTTAAAAGCCTTAAAACTATACAATAAAATTAATCTTAATATTCAACTATTTTTAGATATTTGGTTTAGAAGTTTTAAAGTTTGATTTTGAATGCTTCTAATCAATTTTAATAATATTCATGTTAAATGTTCTTTACTTTTAATAGGATTTAGAAAATGGGATTAAATTATTAGTGTATTAAGAAAAAAAATTAATTTTAATTTTTAAAAATTATTTACGCTGTGCTAAAAATTTAAATTTATTTTTTATTGTTTTTGGTGCCTTTAGTGATATAATCAAGAAAAATTTTCAAAAATTTTCAATTTTTATAAATGTAAAGGAGTATAAAAATTCGTTTATAATTTTTACCTTTTATTCTGTTTTTACTAATTTAGATGTTAATGTATTTTATAGTTATACTTTCTATTTGATATTAAAATATTTTTATATTATCTTATATATTTAATAATATTAAAAACTGATCAATCCGATCGAACCACACCAATCCAATTTAAATTGGATTGATTTAATTATCACATAATAATGAATTAAATTAGTTTAAAAATCTTATTAACCGATTAAATTAGATTAATTTATAAAATAATAAAATTCGAACCAAACCAGACCACGAACACCCTTAAAGTAATCAATAAAAAAAGGAAAGTGACAAATTTAACAGAAAAACTCTCCCAATTTATAACTCGTAAGAATCTCTTTCAATCTCTCAATTGACTCATTCATATCATTTTAATTAGGTTGCAGAATTTCTATTGTTTCAATATTCAAAGACAGTCTCTACTCACCAAGCAGCAATAAAATTTTCATCAAACTCCTGTTGGGGGCTCCATCACCTTTTGGTGTTTGGCAATTTGCGAAAGGGTTTGTCAGATATACACAAGGGATTATCATATCTACCAGTTAAAAAGTGTATTAAATATATTTTTTTTATAAATTTATATTAAAAAATAAAAATTAATTTTTAATTTATTAACTATTTAATTAAATTTATTTAATATTAAAATCGATATTAATTTTTATATTTTTTATATATATTTATAATAAAAAAATATAATAAATACACTTTTTATTTTGTCCTAAGGACATAAGATAAAAAACCCTTTACAAAATTGCTAATAGCACAATATAACTTTTTTTTTTTCTTATAGAAGTTGTCCCTTAAGGAACATTTTAGTGGATAAAAATTTGAGTTTGTAAATCTTAAATTCGAATTTCAAAATGAGCGGAGAGGCATTTGAGAAGGGAATGATTATTTTTTATTGTATAATCTATCATTTATTGTATCAAAATTTATAGAAGCTAGTAGCACAATTTTTTTACAGAAGCTAATAACACACTATTTTTTTTTAAATAATTGGTACACTTTTTAATTTGATACATTTGTTAATACCTATGGTCAGTTCAAT